TGTTTCTGGTCATTAAACCAGCCTGGTATTTCCACACGGCAGCCGTAGAGCCCAGAGTCGCTCTCCTGAGCGTGGAGGATGGTCAGAGAGACATCTCCTCCGGTCAGCTGTCCCAGCAGCTGGTACCTCTCTGAGAGTCTGGAGTTCACACTCTGTCCATCAGTGGAAATGATCATATTATTACACCAAGAAAGAGTTGGTTCTCCTCTCCCCCAGCACATCATCGTCACCCCGTGATCCGTCACAGAGTATCTGCAGGGGAGAGTGACGTCCTGGCCGACGGATCCTCTGACCGTCAGAGCAGAGACTCCAGTGACTGAGAATGAGGAAGAAAATCATATTACACTGCTTCTGATCAAGTCCCCCCAAAATATGTTAAAACCGAGTTCCGGCATGTTTTTCTGATATTAAAAGAGTTTGATCTTCAAGAATAGAAACTTCATTCCACTGAAGGTGAAAAATCACCAGAATGTAAACTTACTTGAAAACTGATCTGGGATAGAGAATATCTTTAACAGAAGTTTTTTGAAATTCTGCTATGCTATGACAAGAAAGTACATTATTTTATTAAGATCTGAGGTGTTTTTCCCTGTAAACTCCAGTATAGACCTGCCTGCAGAGACAGACTCTGTCCTGTCCTCACAGTCATCTCTCCAGTGTATCTCCAGTATGAAGCCCAGTGAGCCCTGCAGCCCAGTGTGATGATCCCAGTCAGTGACCCACAGCTCAAAAGCCCAGTGAGCTCCTACCTGCCATGAGGCTCATGACCAGGCAGCATGATGGGAGGGTCCTGCAGAGTCTCATTGTGAAGAGCTGCTCTCACACTGGAGCCCCTGTGTCTGAGTTTCTGTAGACTCTTGACTTTCAGCTCCGACTTCCCCTACTGTGGTCAGCTGTGGACTCAGTTTGTCATCTGACTTCCTCTCTTGCTTTGTGATTCGTAGCTCAGGTTTCTCAAATTAAAATCGCTGATGTGGAAAATTCACAAACCATTAGCTAGAAGGAGTTGCTGGATACAGGAGTTCTGTGTTCACTCATCATTTCCTCTTCCATTTGCAGTGGAGGAACAAAGGAGAACATGGCGAGCCTAAAGTATAGCACAGTGTATATATACAGTATATCACAGTGAAGTATGTGACAGGAAATACGTTTTTACACAAAGAGCAGCAGGTGTCTGGAACATGATACCCACCTGTGCTCTTGAAGTCATTTTCCTGGTTTGAAGCAGATTCTCAGATCAATAAGGGTCTGCGTTCAAACCAGCACCGTGACTCCTCTGATCTGTAACGTCTTCTTTTTATACGAAGTACATTTAATTTTGTCAAAACAGTTAAGTCCTCTTGTGTAACAAGAAGTATTAAAGTCCAGGACAACATAATACTACCTCATTTATGGTGCTAATTTTATTTTTAATTAAGGCTTTAGTTTCTGCTGCATCTTTAATTATCAGGAGTCTGAACTCACTACTAGGCTCAAAGTGGTCTTGAGATCTTCTAATAAATGAGGCTTGTGATTCTCCTGCACCCCCGGATGAGTGGAGGAGAGAGACACTGTACAAGACCAGAGTGGGGTTCAGTCCTCCTGCAGTCAAGTATGTGGTTCAGCCAGGACACTGGGGTGACAGCCCTACTTTTATACTTGCAGCTGTAGCAGAGCTGCTTCTGATACGGTGACGTCATCGCCCTCCATGGGCCATGCGGCTGGTTCCCTGTTGCGTCATTTCCCTTTGCTATGGAAAGGCCTCCAGTTGTACTGGGAGCTGGTCCTGACTCCCGTGACGTACGTAGTTTAGGACCCTGTGCAGACGGTATAATCCGGAAGTGACTGGAGAAGGGCTACAGAGAAAAGAGCCTGTAAGCCTGTAGACTTTAGAGACAATATCAGGCACTTCAGATCCAGGGAGACAGCAGACTGTCATTGACTCACTATCTGTGGTGCTGATCTCAGTTATACCACTGTGGTGTTCAGTTATTCAGTTAACTGAATAGAGTCTTCACTAATCCCCACTTCCCTTTCTGTGTTCTTAGCAGTATTGACAGTACTTGTAGTCAGTGTTTGGGACTTGAGGTCAGCAGTGAAGGTTTCATGAGCAGCTTCTGTCAAACTCTGTGTTTATCTGACTCTCCAGGGTGCAGGGCTCCCTGAACGCTGGTTGTGTCAGTTCTGCAGTTCTCTGGAGCTCCTGGAGAGCCTTTAGTAGTTCCTGCTCCTGTGCTTCAACCTTTACATTCAGTATCTGGATTCTGTTACTATAGATATTATTTCTCCAGGTGCCACGCAAGATCCACATGACTGGAGTAAACACCATCGGTTAACTGTGTACTGTACAGCATATGGAGAATGTTTGTGTTTTTAGGACGAGAAACAGCTTTGCTGTTTCAATGTGGTCAGCCTTCTTAGCTGATGATATTTATAACAACGTCCTGTGACAATGTGGCCTGTTAGCTGTAGCACAATGTATTTGAGCTGTTTAGACATTTACTAACTGCATCCACTTGTAGTGCAGCTGTCTTCAGGAAGTGATGCAGTTATGATGATTTCAATAAAAAGAAAGGAGCGTTACGATACATGAACATTTCCTCGCCACCTCACTCAGTATTGGTTTTTCCTAAGTGAGCTACTCCTGCGGTCTGGGCTTTATTGGTTTCACACACCCTTTTGGCTTTGGACTAGTTTCGCCTTTGTACTACGGCTTTCGGATTGGGGCTTTGCTTTGGCAAGTACTCTCCTTGGTTTGGACTTCAGGCTTTCACCTTCGACTACGTGCTCAGACTGCGCTTGAGGAACTATCTTAACTCAAAGTATATTTTCCAGCTCCCGTATAGGGTCTGGATTTCTCTCTCGGCTATAATAGCCGGATTGGTAACAGTAATATCATCAGAGAAGCTACCTCTGAGAGGAGAACGTCACTCCTGTTTGTTCTGACTTAGTCACATTTCCGAGAACTGCAACAGCCCAAGAACTAAATCAAGCTGGAGTACAAATTAGCTGTATTTTGCTAAAAAAAAAACATTTTTTTAGTTTCAAGTATTTTTACTGTGCAGTTCACTCACCCTTTGTAACGATCAAGTTAACTGTCAGTTTGTGGTCATTAAACCAGCCTGGTATTTCCACACGGCAGCCGTAGAACCCAGAGTCGCTCTCCTGAGCGTGGAGGATGGTCAGAGAGACATCGCCTCCGGTCAGCTGTCCCAGCAGCTGGTACCTCTCTGAGAGTCTGGAGTCCACTCTCTGTCCATCAGTGGAAATGATCATATTATTACACCCAGAAAGAGGTAGTTCTCCTCTCCCCCAGCACATCGTCGTCACCCCGTGATCCCTCACAGAGTATCTGCAGGGGAGAGTGACGTCCCGGCCGACGGATCCACAGACCGTCAGAGCAGAGACTCTGCTGCCTGGAAACAACAAGAGAAACATCATTTAATACACAAAGCATTGGGTTATGTTGCCCTACAAATCAATAGCAATGATTTAGATATGGTTAGCAGTTTAAAGTAACACAAATGGAATTACCAAAATATTTCTGTTTTTATTAGTTTTAAAGTAGATTTTAAAACCCATACCACATGACCAGTCACTGATGCTGTAGTATTGGGACTCAAACTGTAGAATATAGTTTTCCTCCCACCAACTTTCCCAACTTCTGTGTTGTAAAAACATAAATCTTTTTTGCTCTTAAGTATTTCAGCAGTTTTAAAATACTGAAGCAGCCAGATATAGTCCTTCTGAAAGCATTTTCTCCTGTAGGTGCTCCACCAAACTGGGTAATAAAGCTGACATGAACCATGTCTGCCTTTGCAGTTTCTGCTGAAGCTTTTTCTGAGTTGAGAAATTGAAGTCTCCCATGAAAACTATGTCTTTGTTTGCAATTAAAATCTCACATTATTCTACATCTACTTTTGTACTTATGATTAACATCAGCATTTGGATCTGGTAATGTATAGCAGTCCCCTGACACTCTTTGATATACTGTATTGTTCATTCCTCTCCCTCTTCCATCTTTCCTGTCTCTTCACTGTTTACATTCCTCTCCATCATGTGATCCCTTTTATATTACTATTCCCTGCAGCTATTGTAGCTTCCTATACCTTTTGAGAGCTCCTGGCATTTAAACACAAGCATGTAAAACTCCTGGACCTGTTAGTAGTGCTGTTTTCCTCTCTGGTTCTGTTTCTGCCATTGTTCCCAATGCAGCTGCATTTTGGAAATTCTTTGGATTCTCCTCCATTCCCGTCTACTTTTAAAGTTTCCCGATTTCCTTGTGGATCCTTGTGCAAAGAAGACTTCTGCCCATGTCATTCAGACATAGTCAGTCACATCTTGTAGATGTCCTTTGCTATGGAATGGCCTCCATGGTGCTATCAAAACAGATTTCAGAGGATCTAAGAGACAGCAGTTGATGCTCATCAGTCTGTGAGGCCTGGTGGAGGTAATGTGATAAATAGC